AATGATAATTGACTTTAGAGATATTCTTTGTCTTATCATCTGAAAAATCTTTAAAGTCAATTATCATTTTTTATTTTTGTTGAATAAAAGGGTCCACGAATGATGCGCACGACGAAAGTTGCGCACGGAACGGAAAATGAGGGTTTCGAAGCAGAACGAGCCATTTCAAGTTCACTGCGCTCACCCTCACCTTCACTCACATCCGCACTTCACAGCGTCAGTCAGAGCCCTCAGAGTCTCCGTGTGCAAGTTTCGTCGTTCATATCTTTCGGGATCTCCTTGTTGTTATATAGTTGAAGAATAGAACTTTTTCCATACACCGAAGAAAAAAACTAAACAATAACAGATTGTTTTTCTTTTGAGGAGAATAGGAGCTGTGGATTTGGAGTTTACTATTTTCATCATATAGGGAGGATTAGAATTAGTTCAGTATACGACAATATTTTTTCCAAAACTCCAAAAAAGATTATATGAAGGATAAATATGAATTAATAATAGTTTTATTTTAGATGGTGAATCTTATTTGTTTAATGCTCGTAAATGTCTTGAAAATAAATATAGAAAACGTGGTTTAGGAAAACATTGTTAAATATTGTGGCTTAATCAGTGTTCGAACCGGATATAGTATTGAAGAACTTATTTCCAAAATATTTCCTTATTGATAATAACACGATTCGTCTTTTATTTTATTCATTTTTACTTTAATATAAATTTACATAGGTGGTGTTTATCTTCTTGGTGGTACAAATGGCGAAAAAAGTAGTTTATTTAATAGTCTTATTAATTCTGTTCTTTGTCATATTAATGTACTTGAATGTATTCAACATGCAATTGTATTAAATCTTCCTCGTAAAATATTTTTTAAGGAATTTCTTATTTTCATTGTATTATTTAGATACAACAATGAATATTCTTCGTTTTCCAATTCAATTAAAAACTGAAAAAATTCAATTGAAAATGGAACAACTATTGTTTAATATATTTCGTTTTTTTTCTTTTCTATAAATAAAATATTAAAGATAAAATTTTTGAAAATATTCAATCAACAGTAAAATGTCATCATCGATTTGAATCTGAAATGAATTTACCAAAAAGTGATGTATCATTTAGATATTCATCTGGTGAAAATTCTTTTAATGAAGATCGATCATTTGAATCAATTGAATATCATTATATAAATTGTCGACGAAAGAAAATGTGAGCTTTTAATTCCTGATTCATATAAAAAAGAAAAATGCCTTTATGATACAGCAGAAATTATTTTATCTGAACAAGTGAAAACAAATATTTTATTTTTATTTTCTATGATAGATGATTAATAAATGTACTAGTCGAAAAGAACTTTCGTTTTTTGATCATCAATCAACCGTTATTCGACCAATAAATGTTTTATTAGATATTCGACAAACAACATTAATTGGTAGTGTTGCAAAAAAAAGTGATGTTAAACATGTTGGTTTCTGCTTTTTTTGTTCTTGGTTATTTAATAATTGTTATTGTTTTTTAGATTAGTAATAATGTTCGAGCAAATCTTTCTTTAATGACAAGATCTTGTTTGCCAATTAATATTATAGAAACAAAAGATGTTGAATAATTTTATGAAAAAGCTCTTGAACAAAATCAACTTGAAGTAAATTGTATCTTTTTATTATGTAATAAATAGAAAAGATAAATTTTTTAAAGGTTCCTCAAAATCGTACCAATGAAGATATTGTTTTATCTTCAGCGGATAAATTCTATTCTAAGAAAATCATTCAAATGAAATTTGTTTTTATGTATTTAAGTTGGGTTAGTGTTCAATGTAGTCCTGATCAATATGTCGTATTTAATGTAATGACACCTCCAGGTCTTGGTATTCATCTTCGACAACCATCATTACTAAAATATTTATTCCATTTGCATGGTTCACATATAGAACAAACATCATTTTTTAATAAACATATTTATTGAGAAGATCAACAAGAAGATAAAGATAATAATCAATGTTAATCAAATGAACTTGAAATGATTATTAATGAAAAATTATGGAAAGAATAACAAAATAAACATCGAAGACAAGCAAAACGTACATTATTTTATATGATGTATTTGTTTCTGTTTCTAATTTCATGTTATTGGAATAACAACCAGCGAGAACAAAAATAAATAAGTTACATGCTATGAAAAGATTCGTATATTAAACAAGTTTGAGAAATAGCAAATTCTATTTGTTAATAATATTGAAAAAATAAAATTCATTTCTTTTATTTAAATCATAATGTTTTTTAGAAACGTTATCAATTATTTATTGTCTTCGCTATCAAAGAGAAAATAATGTCACAATAAATGTTTTTTAAAAAATATACATAAGACATAGTCATATAGAAAAGATGTTACAATACCATTTGTTTAATAGAAAAGAAATTCTTTAGCAAAGTTTTACCAATCAAAAGACAAAAAATCTTTATAATAAATTGAAAATTTGCGTCTATGATTCGAAATTGTTTTCTTAGGTAAATTTGATTATGAGTAATTGAAACACAATGGCTCTATTTTTTGATTCTTTTGCATCGCTGAACTTTAAGAAAGACATGTCATATACAGAGTGTCCCAAAAGTAAGGGAACAGAAAAATATTGAATATCTCCATTACGGTTTGAGCAAATGAGCTGATTTTTTTATCAATGATAGAGGTCTGTTCAAGCTTTATATCCATAAAGACATGCCTAGAGAGACCCTTTGTTAAGTATCACCTAGTGATCTCAATAAAAAAAATATACTTTTTCACAGATAGAAAAAAACAATATGCTTAACGCAGTGTCTCGCCAGGCATGTCTTTATGAATATAAAGCTTGAACATCCCTCTATCATTGGTAAAAAAATCCGCTTGTTTGCTCGAGCCATAGTGGAGATATTCAATATTTTTTTAGACAAAGTGACTTTTGCGCCACTCTGTATATTGTTTTTTCTTATCTATGAAGAAGTAAATTATTTTTGTTGAGATCACTAGGTGATACTTAACAAAGGGTCTTTCTAGGCATGTCTTTGTGGATATAAAGCTTGAACAGACCTCTATCATTGATAAAAAAATCAGCTCATTTGCTCAAACCGTAATGTAGATATTCAATTTTTTTTCTGTTCCCTTACTTTTGGGACACCCTATATATTCGTCCAATTCGTTGTAATTTTTCAAATTACTCAAAGAAAATATCTCTAAAATTTCACAGAAAAAAAAGTTTTACTTTTAACTTGTTTCTCGGAATTTATGCTTTTTTTTCATAAATGTTTAAAATAAATTAAAAGAAAACTATACAGATGGATAGCGTAATTAATGCTCTCTCTAATCATGTAGAAATAAATAACTTGTAGAGATACAGCAAAACGAAGAAAACTAGTAAAAATGAGTGAATCATATCCTATATAGTCCGATAGAAAAAAGAATGCTATATTTTTTTATGCTATTTGGTCGTACTTCAACTAGTAGGATGATAATAAATTTTCGATAAGACTTTTTTCGTTATGATTTGTATTCTAGTAAGTTTTGCGTTGCAATATCCAATCCCTTAATACATTGTATCAACAACCAAAATATATCATAAAATGCAGCATGAAAAGCTCTACAATTTATATAAGACTACCTATTATATAGTTACACTTTTTATTTCTAAAATGGACACAATTTTGGGCGATCAAGTTTCAACTATGCGAATTAGATAAATGTTTCTGCTACATGGCGAATGTATTTTTGTTATTTCATCGTTTCATTACCTGAGATGCTTTACCAAAAGAAAACAAAATGCACCAGGAGATGCAGCGTAAACAGCTCGACAACCTTCACAGTAAAACTTATTGTAATTGCCTTCAAACAGAGGAAAATTCCGTGTGACTAATTTTTGCAGTGCCAAAAGTTTGGTCTCTCAAAATTTTGTTCATTTTGAAAACTAAAAGTGCAACTATGAAATAAGTGGTCTTATATAAATTGTAGAGTTTTTTACGCTGCATCTTATGGTATATGTTGATTATAAATACAATGCTTTGAGGGATTGAAAACTGACCTGCCTCATCCGTTGTGATCTAGTAATACGAGCATAAATCATAACGAAAAGTCTTATCAAAAATTTATTATCATTCTACTAGTTGAAGTATGATCAAATAGTATAGAAAAATAGAGCATTCTTTTCTCTATCAGACTATATGGAAAGAAAGTTTCTTAAAACTTATTATACGCCTAAATAATGTTGTAATCCGAACTTTTGGTACATTCTAAGTATAACGTTTATTGTTCAGGCTCCTTGAAGAGGCTGAAAAATGAATGAACACATTTTGTCAAATTATATTTCGATCGTTCGTTAGTGTCAGTAATTTGCAAATCAGAAATCAATCAAAATGCAT